TTAGTTCTTTGTGTTTTTCTGTTTTTCAAGTGATATCTAGCAAATTATGATGCTAAGGATGGTGTTCAAATGGCAACTCCGATTGGTATCACGCTTCAAAGATTCATTCTTTACACCTTAGCATCATTTGGTAGCTATTACTCTCCCAAACTTTCAATCCATGAATATGTGCAAGCTTTCAAATCCAAACTCTTAGCACATATGTAGGGGGAGCTAATACTACTAATTTGGGTTTATGAAACTTGTCCATAACCTTTGCACATAGTAATATGCTTGGGCAAGCAACATGAATCTAAAAAGATTTTATTGAATATCTTTGTAAATAGGTTGTTATCAATTACCAAAAAGGGGGAGATTGAAAGCCCTAGTTTGGTTTTGGATAATTGTTGAACTTAGGACTAACCTTTGATCTAAGTGTGTAATTTATATGAGGTAGTCCAATCCAAGTAGTGAAGCTAGGTGATGGTCATGGTGAAGGTGATGGCCACAAAAGAGATGATCAAGTGCTTCACATTTGAAAAAGAAGAAAGAGAAAAACTAAAATGGGCTCAAGGTGAAGGTATATTGATAGGAGCCATTTTTGGTTTGCACTCACCATAGAGGGTGTGAGTGATTTATGATCGATAATCATACTATAAAGAGGGAAAATCTTTGGCTAAGAGGTTATCGAGTGCCGCTAGGTGACATGATTCTTGCATATGCATTTAGAAACCTAGTGTGCTAACTTTGACCCTTGAAAAATGCTTTGGAAAATGCTAACACATGTGCACACAAGTTCTACACTTTGTGGTTAGCAAGTTAGAAGCATGGACGAAGTGGTTGTGGACTTAGAAAAAGAAAAGGAGGAGAAAGTCCCTGACCGGACTCTGGCCACGGGGTGACCAGACTCACCCCTGGCGCATCCGGTCAGCTAGCATAGAGAAGGGCGCTTTCGGGTCTGCGACCGGACTCAGCAGAGGAGGTGCGACCGGACGCGCAGGGTTTGCGTCCGGTCGGCTGTGATGTACAATGACGTGAGCAGCGTGTGGCTCGACGAGTGAGGCGAAGAGGACCGAATGCCAGCCTGCATCCGGTCAACCTCGAGCGGACGCGTTAGATCTAGAAAAAACCCTCTAGGGGTGCTTACTGGAAGTGACCGGACTCCACATTGATGGTGTGTCCGGTCACCTGGCGGAGCATCAGGTCGAGGGCTCTATAGCGCAGGCGCATGCACGAGCGGATGCTGAGCTACAGCGTCAGGTCAGGCTCAGCAACGTCCGGTCATGACTTAGCCATTGGGGTTTAGCTGCTAGCCGTTGAGATCACGCGGTGGAGATTGAAAGGAGGCAACAAGTGGACAGCGATGGTTGACCAGACGCTGGGTGCGTGCGTCAGGTCATACCCCATATGCACGTCCGATCGGCTCGTGAAGACAGGCAGTGAGGGGGCCAACAGCTCTTTCGTGGTTGGCTCCCTATTTAAGTGTCTTGGCCGGCCCTTGGCTCACTCTCTTCGCACTTTGACATACTTTACATTCTTGTGAGCCTAAGCAAACACCTCCCACTCATCTCCATCATTGATTTATCATCATAGTGAGATTGGGAGTGATTCCAAGTGTATTTGCTTGAGTGATTGCATCTAGTGGCACTTGGGGATCGTTGTGGCTATGGAATTCTTGTTACTCTTGGTGGTTGCCACCACCTAGACGGCTTGGAGCAGTAGAGGAGCTTCGGCATGAGTTGGTGATTGTTCGTGGCCGTCTCTGGTGATTTTGAGGGGTCTTGCACCTTCACCGGCGAAGAGCCGCAAGGTAGCTCTAGTAAATTGCTCGTGTCATTGAGTTACCTCACTTGTGGGTAGGTTCTTGCGGTGTCCATTTGTTGGACGAGGTTCGTCGAACACCTCTTAGCCGCCGAACCACCAAATATTGGTCGACACAATGAGGACTAGCGTGCCGGCAAACACGTGAACCTCGGGAGAAAAATCTTGTCTCTTGTGTGATTGAAATTCTCCTAGTGATTGGATTGACTTCATATTGTGATTGGTTTATTCCTCTACACGGCGGTATAACCACCCTACTCACTCCTTTACATTCTTACAAACTAGTTGCCAAGCTCTTTAGCGTAGTTAGTCTTTGAAAGCTTGCTAGTTTGGTTAGTGTGGCTCTTTAGTTAGTCTTTGAGAGCACACTAGCTTAGTGAGTAGTGACCTAGCTATTGTGTGGCCTAGTGATCATAGCAACTAGAATTGTTGGAATAGGTGGCTTGCAACCCTTGTAGAGCTAGAGAAAAATTGCATTACGCCGTTTGTTGTACTAATCAATTGCTCTTGTGGATTTGTAGAGTTTTAAATAGGCTTTTCACCCACCCTCTTGCCATATTAGACCTTTCAAATGACTCTAAAGCTCAGCTCATGAGCCACATGCGGTGGCGGGCAACGAGCAACTTCACCTTGCTTCATAGGAGCAACAATGTTTGGCCACACGTCTTGACCAAGCACCAAAACGTCAGTGATGGTGCACCCCTATTTTACAGGCGTGAGGTGGAATGCGTCGGGCGAAAACCTCAACCGGTGTTTGCCGGAGCCGACAACAGTGACACTTTGGTGTCACTTCCTTCCTTGGAAGCGTCGTTGATATGCTATATCTTCACCTTGTGGGGTTCTTTTGAGGAAACTCCACTTAGTGTTTCTAGACAGGTGACGCTGACGATCAACGCCGTTTCCTTCGTGAAGTCGCCTAGAAGATCTCGCACTGCCTTCTTAGATGCCGGTCCACGTGGGACGTTTGTTACTTATCTGCAGGCCTTGGGTTTTCCTCGAGGCCGTGCTCTTACAGGTTTGCTACTTGCTTTGTGGTGTGTGCCTAGCTCTCTAGAGTGAATCTGTAGAGACAAAGTTAGAGCTGCTTTTCCTGTGGGGTACAACAAAGCTTGGCAACAATGACATGTTGCGTTTCACTTTCTTTGGAGGTCACGACTCGTGTGAGCAAGTGGCAGTGTGTTAGGGGTTTTGGCTGATGTTCGTCATGGGAAGTTGGAGCTGCTCTGTTGTGATAAGTTCAACAACAATGACGTGCAGTGGGCTCGTACGGTTGTTTGTAAGTGGGTTGCCTAGGGTTAGTCATCTGGGCTTGTGTGTTTAGTTTTTTCATTGGTTTTCTTTTAACAAATTGTGTGACTGTAAGATTTTCATATCTGATTTTCTTTATAAATTGGATCAATTTTGTTTCTTATTAATTGAAAGGCAGAGCTTATGCCATTACATTAAAAAAAGGAGGGCATTCGGCATAGCCTCATCGTCGGGACTACCGGTTCCCTCTGTCTTCTGCCCATCCCATCGCTGGACTGTCGCTTCCCTTTGCCTTTTCCCTAGACCCCATCTCTCGCATCACCATTGCCCCCTCCATCATTTGGATCTAAGCACCGGCGTGCCCCCACGCGGCTCCGGACTCAACAAGCATTGAGGATCTAAGCACTGACGGGCACCGCCACGCGGTTCTTTTTTTTTAAAGGTGGCTCGCAGTTCCTTACCCCAATGTGGTTGGATTTATTTGGATTAGTCTTCTCTAAGCTTGTAGGTTCAAGAATGTAGGAGGAGGCCGCAAAAGTTCAAAAAAAATGTAGCCATTTGCCGGTTATTGAAGTAACTTAATGAGTCAAATTTGAGTCTGCCATCTGATACATAGTTAGCATTTTTCTTTGTGATTGTAGCCTATTCTGTCATCCCAGAGCATTTGGGAAGCTAAATGCTAGTTTGCTATGTAGGTCAGAATTGGAAAAATAAGGGGGGCTATAGGCTATAGCAGGATATAATCAAAGCCCGGTTTGTACTGTGAGACACAGACCAACTGACTCACCAATTTGGGCTGACTTATTAAGGCGAAAGGTTTGTATTTATAGAGAAGATCTATATTTAGCAAGAATGGAGATAAAGTTATGTTTTGGTTTGCTTGTTGACTATTTTTGTTGCTCTATGTACTCAATTTCAGGATTTATTCTTGTTTTGTGACAAAAAAAAAGAGGTGACTGTGAAATGGTGTTTGGAGAATAGCATGAATCTATCTTTTTGGGGATGGTTATAACCTGAATTGAGTGAGCAATGGAACCTGATATGTGAAAAAATAACATGTTTCAATTCTCTCAGACCATGGATATTGTCGGCTGGAAATGGGGAAAAGAGGTAATTTCTTTGTAAAGTCGATCTATAATACATTGACAGTAAATGCATCTGGATTTTCATAAGCATATTTGGAAAGGAAAACTCCCTCAAAAAAATCAAAATTTTTCTACGGCTTATGGAGAATAATCCTATTCTAACAAAGGATAATTTGATTAAGAGGGGATGGGTTGGTGATCCTAAATGTGTCTTTTTGTGACAATGATGAATCTATATCTTTTGAATGTCGAGTTGCCAATGTTATTAGGGGAATAGTTGCTACTTGCTTTGGAGCAAATAATGTCTACAAAATCTTAATCAAGTCTGGGCGTGGGTTAAATTCTGGGTTTCTAATGGAACTAACATTCACTCATTTGGCATGCTACCATCTGTTGGGCCATTTGAAAGACAAGAAACAAAATTTGTTTTGAAAATTGCTCTGTTGCAGTGTCTAGTCTGTGTTTCTTCTTTTTAATTGCATACAACAATACCAAACATTGTCAAAAGCATCTATTTGAACAGAAATGCTATTGCCACCAATGCTCCCTTTTCTCTTCAGAGGCATACAAATGTTCCTCAACCAATTGAACACAAACACTGTCAATTGAGCATCAGAGTGTGCTTCCGATTTCCTCTTTGTTCACATAACCAAAGTCAAAATGAACATCTGTTTACATAATGTCGACCAAATGCCAATTTTTTTTTTGTATTTATTACACTCTCAATCAAGTAAAAAACAAACCATAAACTGCACTATTCAAAACCAAAAAAGAATGTGCAGAAACGATGGAGAAACAAAAACCCGTCACCGCGCACTATGCAAAGGAAAGGATCTCTACCTCGAAATTCTTTTTTTCTACGCACTACTACCGATGAACACTGCCACTTGAAGGAGAAGGAGAAGGAGAAGGAGAAGCGGCAGGACTCCTGTCCCAGCTGTTCCCCCTGACGTACCGCAGCTGCAGAGACACCTGCCGCTCCATCCGCAGCTGCCTGTAGAAGTTCGCGATGAACAGCTCCGCGCGCTGGTCGATGTCGTCATCCCCCGCCGCCGGCGACCCGCCGCCGCTGGACGACGCCGACGACGCCCTCTTCAGGGCCTCGGGCGACGCCGCGGCGCTGCTGGTGCTGGTCCGCGACAGGCTCCTGGTGGTCGCCGTGTCCAGGCTCGCCGACCTGGAGGTCCTTGAGCTGGAGGAGGCCGGCGACGCGATGCTGTCCTCGACGTCCAGCAGGCCCGGCCGCGAGTCGAAGCTGAGGCGCCGCGCCGGCGCGCCGCCGCGGGCCAGGGATCTCAGCAGCATCCACCGCGTCGCGCTGAAGGAGAGCAGGAACCGCACCTTGGCGATCGCCTCCCGGAGGCTCCCCAGGACCGACGACGACGACCGCTTCTTGGCCTTGGGCGTCTCCTCCTCCATGGATGGAGAGACCTCAGAGACGACGGCCTGTTTCTCCCCTGTCGTCGTCGTCGTCGAATACTCGAAGCTCTGGAGTCGTGGCAGACAAGGAGAGCTGGAGCGAGTGGAGGCGGGCGGCGGTTGGTTTTGTGTCGATCTGTAAAGCGGGAGGCGCGCGATTTTATATAGTGGCTGCCGATGTTGAAAGGTCGCCGGTGTACTCCGACGATGGTTGGTCAGTGCAGGAAGCTACTCGGTTTCAAGAAACTGCAGTGAATGTATCGGCGTCTACAAATACACCGGTAGAATACGCCGTACGCGTCGAGTAACGGCCAGAGGTGACTGCGATTATGCTTGGCCGTGACCAGCTAAGCAGCACCGCAATCATTGCTTACATCAAAAGGAACCGAATCGCATTGGCATCTCACAGATTGACAACGGTTGGAACAGCCAAACGGCACAGCGCCTCCGTCCGTCGGGAACATGCGGATTGAACGGGGGTTGAACGAGCCAGTTGGTGCTCGCTGTTGGTAACGTGCCGGACGCGACGACCATGCGATGCGTGGCAAGCCTGCAACTAGCACACGTTGGGTGTGACGCCGGACGACGCGGAGCCAGGTCAAACGTTTCCCGCTCGCGCTCGGCCGCACGCTCACGCCACCACCGGCCGCCCGCCCGCCCGGCCGCACGACTTCGCGACACGAGTGCTTCGGCGCCAAGTTTAAGCCAGAAGCGACAAATGCGCCGTTCGCTTGGCTTATAAGTCATGGCTGAAAATACTGTTGACTGATTTATTATGAAAGAAAAATATTATTCGTTGGCTGAAAAAATACGACTTATAAATCAAATAAACAAAGCAGATGAGGTGCTCTGCTGACCGTCACGTGTGCCAAATGCAAGCCCCCAACTCGGCCGCCTCAACCTCAAGGCATCCAAAGAGCCGGGGGCGTCACGTAGTCCAGTCAAAAACATCAGAGCAGCCAGCGTGTCTGGATTGCAGTCCTAGAACCGACTGTCCTTCTGTAACTAACACTACAGCGACGTTCATTTTGCCAGACCAATTCACTACAGCGACGTTCATTTTGCCCTGGCAACCTGACCCTATAAAAAGTAAAAACCAAACAGGCCGCAAGACCAGCTGCTCACGGCGGGCGAGCCGACTAGAATCTGCAGGCAGCGGACGCGGCCAACACGATACCGACATCGGCAGCAGCCTTACTATTTTCTCACAAGCGAGTGGAGAAAGGGTCGGCGACTCGGAGCTCGGAACACACTGGATGACTGGATCGTGTGTTTTTTTTTTCAATCAGCCTGGTAGACAATAGTGTTTTTCTCTCACAACAAACCAATAACAGTCAGGTTTATCAGTCCAGAAATCAACCAGCGAACATGCTGAATATCAAAGAAGATGCACTTACTATTCTAGGAGTACTTTGGAAATTATTTAAGCCGGGGCGGAGTATAACGAACCGTACCGTGACAGAGTGTTGAATGCCTCTTCAGATTCAGACTCAGACATGCTCTTGAGACGAATCAGGGGGCGTTGTTGCTTGGAACGGGTTTTTCTACGGTGACGTCGAGAGCAACCGGAGATTTATTAAAGATGATGCAGCGACGTGACAATGAATTGGGACGAACGCCTTTTATTTTAGGCTTTGAAATTTGGCGTCGTTTTCAGTCGGACTCGGACGGACGCCGACATGGTTACGGGGTGGGGCTGGGGTTGGGGCCATGGGGGATTTACTGGGTTCAGTAGTGCTAGCGTCCAGATGTTCAGACGGTGCACGTTGCACACCATTTCGCGCTCCACACAGGTTCGCGCCGTCCACCCGATCGATAAGAGGGGAAGGGCGTGCGACGCCTTCGATTCGTAAGGATCCGGCCACGACATCGTATGGATGCCCTGTCGGCGTTGGGAGAGACGATGCAACAGAAGGTGGAGAGGAGAGATGCAACACCCGCTCTACTTTTGAAACATCCAAATACAACAGTTGCAACATACGTCTGAAAGCAGTTGAAACACTTAAAACATGCTTCTGAAACACTTGAAAAAGACACCTAAAAACACTTGATAACCATTGCAATTATACGCAACATCCAAATAAAACACATACAACGCATGTGTGAAACATATGCAGCATCAAGATAAACACACTTTTAACATGCGTCCGGAAAGCACAGATGAAACATACTCTGAAACATCTGAAATACTCGAAACATACGCTTGCAACATGCCTCTGAAACAATTGCAACATATGTCATATGTGCAACATCCCTGATCTACTATTGCAACACCCATATGAAATAAATGCAACATACATCTAAAATGCCTGAAACGCTTGAAACATCATATGCAACATAGGGGGGAGAAGGCTGGGTCCGTCAATTCCGGCCGCCGGGGTGAGGGGGAGCTCAGTCGTCAGGGTGAGAGAGGGCACCACTAGGGGTGAGGAGGACGCCGCGTCGGGGTGGGGTAGAGCCAACCACTCCCCTGCAACACCGCGGCGCCACCTCCATGGATCTCGCTTGTGCTCTGAAGGGGACCGTGACGCCTAAGAGGAGGGGGTGAATTAGGCAACTTAAAATTCTACTTCTAAACTATGGTCTCTTTTTCAACCTTAGCAAAACATATACAAAAGATAAACAATCTAAATGTGCAACTACGATTTTAGTAGTGTGTTGCTATCTCTACCGCAAAAGGAGTAATGTAGATAATGTAAATGTGGAAGCTAAACATCAAGGTAGAGATATGCAAACTCCCGTCGATGACTTCGGTATTTTTATCGAGGTATCAAGAAGCGCGCAAGCTTCCCCCTAGTCCTCGTTGGAGCCCCTCACAAGGAATCCCTCGCAAGGGCCAAGCTCCCGGTCGTGTAACTTTGTGGATAGCTCTAGGCCTTCCCCACGCGCAAGTGGGTCTCCGGTGTGCCTTCCGGCAAGCCTCTCCTGGACCACTCCCCGTCGTCTTCACTATCAAGCTTCCAGCCGAAACGCCACGGGCCTTGTTCTCTCTGGTACACGATGGCGGCTACACCACAAACGCGGTTGGTGTGATCTCGCAAGACTACAAGCCCCTCCGATGTACAATGGTGCATGCAAGCATCAAGTGGTAAGAGGTATGCAAACATCACTAAACACTAGGCCTAAACCTAGAGTATCGCAAGACTACAAGCCCCTCCGATGTACAATGGTGCGTGCAAGCATCAAGTGGTAAGAGGTATGCAAACATCACTAAACACTAGGCCTAAACCTAGAGTAAGCACATAAACGGTGGTCTAATCAACCTATACACTTCGCAAAAGCACCTACGTTAATCACACAATGAATCACTAAGTACTCTGCATATGGAGATCACTAAAATGGTGTATCAACACCCTAGATATGTTTTCTCAGCTCTACTGTACTCAAATGGTCGGTTGGGGGGCTATTTATAAGCCCCATGGAGAAAGTAGCCGTTGGGGATGAAATCCCGCGTTTCTGCTACTGACCGGACGCGCAGGTCGTCCTGATCGGACGTGTCCGGTTGTCCCGACCGTTAGAGCCACGATCAACTGATCGGACGCTGCCAGCATCCGGTCACATGCCACCGGACGCGTTCGGTCGTAATTTCGCAGCTCTAGAACCTCTCTCAGACTCGACGGACGTTTGTAGTCCACGTGGTCCGGTTGATTTGCCGCTTGCCGTCCGTCAGTACTAGATGTTGCTTGGGATAATGAATGCGAGACTGCCAAGGCGTCCGGTCACTTCTTTATTCGTTTCAAAGATCCGGTCATTGCACTCGACGCCTATACATTGCCGAGTCTCTTGATCGGAGCGTCCAATCACTATTCGCCAGCGTCCGGTCACCTCTGTGAGCTTGTTTCTTCGCGATCTTGCGTCCGGCTTGGTTCCTATCTTCGTGCTTGGACTTTGTTTGATATCTTAGGTCTTCTCTTATGGTTCTAAGGTCTTGCTTAAGGTGTTGATCGTGGGATCATCACGTCGCCTTCGTCCAAATCACGTCTTGCATCCTATTAGACTACAAAACAAACACTTGCTAATTCATTAGTCCAATTTGGTTGTGTTGGTCATCAAACACCAAAAATCTAAAGTAAATGGGCTAGGATCAATTTTTCTTACAATCTTCCCCTTTTGTGATTGATGACGACACAACCAAAGCAAGCAAATAATAAAAATTTGCAATTTAAAAACTATCTACTTGCTAGGATGCAATGCAAAAGGGCAAGGTTATATGATGCTAAAAGATACCACTTGTAAGACTAAAGGATACCACTTGAAAACTTATCTTGCCCTTGCAAATGTCCCCATGTGGTATTATGGATTTAAGCCTTGCTTTTTGATCCTACAAATTCTCCCCATTACATAGACTAATCCATAATTTACTATCCTTCCTTTCTTGGACCATTACCACTTGTAAATTATTATGATCTTGCTTTTGATCCTACAAATTAATGCTTGCTTTTGGTCCTCTAAATTCTCCCCCTTTGGAATCAAACACCGAAAAGGAAGACATTAGTAACACAAGGGAGGGTCAAACTTTGTGATCCTTCGTATGTGGAGTGGAATGGATCACAAAATTTGACTCTCACATTACATAGGCTAAGCTCCCCCTAAATATATGCATACATATGATGGAAAATGTAATTTATGCATAATTGGTAAATTAATGCTCAAGAGAGTTTAATCTATATAATGCATGGAGAAAGCATATAAATACCAAAATGAAATCAACATGATGATATCGGTTTAGAAATACCACTTGTGAAAACCAATTTGATTTCTACCACTTGCAATAGGTGGTGGATATTTGAAGTATGATGCTTAACTCCGGGGACTCCATTTTCCTTGCAATGAGACTACTACACACATGATAAGCTTGAAAAGGTGTTAGTCTCAAAGCATCCAACTTGTAGAGTAACCCCCCCCTAAATTTTGTGCATACAAGTATGGAATACATGTAGAAGACATGCACATTGATTTTAGAATAAAAATACCACTTGAAAAATGACATCTCATGAATG